CTGCCGTGGCCATCATCTGCCGTGGCTGTCTGCCGTGGCCATCATCTGCCGTGGCCGTCTGCCGTGGCCAAATGCTGTCTTCTGGGTATAAGCTGTGTTTCCTTTGGTGTGTTTGCTTGTGTTGGGGAACGAACACTCTAGGAAGGTCTCTGGTTAAATTATTACTGCGTTTCCTGAAGGATGTCATCGGGACTGTCTCCCCTCTTAGGATTATTGGCAGTGAGAATGCCTCTTTGGTTTCAGTACCAGAAGTAATCACAATGTTCTTGTATAATAATATTTGGTCTTTAAAAAAGTGTTTAAACACCGTTATTGAGCTATAACTTTCACAGCACATAATTCATGCATTAAAAATGTATGGTTTGGTGATATTTAGTATAGCTGCAGGATTGCCTAACTTTTTACCACCATTGGTTTTTTAAAAATGTATTTACTTCTTCTTAAAATCAAACAATATTATTTAGCCTATGTGTATGGGTGTTTTGAGTGAGTGTATGTCTGTGCACCACATTTGTGCAGTGGATTTGATGGCCAGAAGAGGGCATGGATCCCCTTGGGCTGGAGTTACGGATGGTCGTGAGTACCATGTGGATGCTGAAATCGAAGAGCAGGCAGTTGTTCATCACTGCTGAGCCGTCTCTCTAGCCTCCATAATCAATTCTTACAGCATCACTATAACATTTCCATTACCCTCTTCTCCGTTATAGTTTGAATCTGGAATGTCCCAAAGGCTTCTATGTTTGGACACTTCGTCCCAAGCCCATGAGAGGTTGAGTCCCTGTGGAAGGTAAGCCATTGAGGGTGTGTCGTTGAAGGAGCGATTGAGACCCTGACCTTCCCCCCTTTCCTCTTGTGTTTCCTGGGTACCATGAAGTGAACAGATCCCCTCATCGTATGCTCCCACCATAACAAGCTGGTCCACTCAGACCCAAACAAATCCCAAATGACCTGGAACAGAAACATCTGAATAAATTCTTCCCTTTAAATGATTTATCTTTTTTTTTTTTTTTCACAGCAACAGGAAGTTGACTAACACATCCCTTAATGTATCATCTCCTGGTTTCTCTGAACTAGCCACCCATTAATTACTTTCTAATTCTCAGGATTTTCCCTGATCTGAATATTTCCTATTCGTAGACTATGGTAAAATGTCCGGTCATCTGTGACTTAGCTTCTTTGACTCGGTGTGTATCCTGGTCAGTTTTTTGTCAACCTGACACAGGATACAGTTATCTGGGAAGAGGACTCCTGATTGAGAAATGGCCTCCATCAGATTATCTGTAGGCAAGTCTGTGGGGCATTTTATTAATTCATGATTGATGTGGGTGGTGCCACCCCTGGGCAGGTGGCTCTGGGTTGTATAAGAAAGGTAACTGAACACGATCCTGGGAGCAAGCCAGTGGGCAGGGTTCCCTCCCCATCTCTGCCCCAGCTCCTGCCTCCAGGTTCCTGCCCTGACTTTCCTCAGTGATGGAGCGTGACCTGAGAGTCGTAAGAGGAAATGAATCCAGCTTTCCTACCCAAGCTGCTTTCGGTCATGGTGTTTGTCCCAGCAACAGAAACCAAATGCAAACAGCGTGTTTTCCAGATGCCTCCGTTTTGTACTACTCCGCGGCTTTTAGGGCTAACTCGAATCCCACAGTATGGATTAGCCTCATTTTGTTGACGGGCTTCTGGATTGGTCCATCGTTTCCTACTGTGAAAGGTGCACTTCGCTCACTCCTGTGCATGTGTGAGCGGGTTTTAGTTCTCTGGGGTGTATACGGGAGTAGCATGTCAGGGTCGTTTGGCAATCCTGTGTTTGGCCCTTTGCACACAGTGACCACGTTAGGTGAGAGTCTCACAGCCGTGTAGGAGGCTCTAACTTGTCCACTTGCTCCCCTTGCTATTAACCCTTTCTAGCAGGTGGAAATGCCTCACTGTGGTTTGGGTGTTCGTTTCTCTGATGGCTAGTGATGTTAATTTTTACTTCACATGCGTGTTAACCATTCGTATATCTCCCATGGAGAATGCTTACTAACAAACTTTTTTTAAAAGGCAAAGTGTCGTGTAGTTTAGATTGGTCTCGGGCCGGCTAGTAGCCAAGGATTAACCTGGACTCTGCTTTGGGCTCCTGAGTGCTGGGGATACAGGCATCCACTCCTTCCCCGGGTCACACTTGGCTTACTTTGGAATTGTGTCTTTTCTCTTTTACTTTTATTTTATTTTACTTTTGACGTTTGAGCTTCAGATCAGGTCTTTGGCTGTGGAAGGACACACACATGTATCTAGAGCGTCTTGACAAGTCCAGGGAGAGCTGGTAACTGTGTTTATTGGGATTTGGACATAACCTCTTTGGGCTTCAAGAGCTTGACGGCCTTGGCTGGGATCAAGGTCTTAGCATTATTTGCATCTTCTGGGGGCATTTGTGGGTTGTTGTTGTTGATGATGATGATTTTTTTTTTTTAAGACAGGATCTCATATAGTCCAGACTGGCCTCACACTCAATATATAGCTGAGGCTGGCTTTGAACTCCTGATTCTCTCATGTCTACTCCCTAAGTACTGGCAGATGCCTACCACTATGTTGAACCAGACTCTCTCTCTCTCTCTCTCTCTCTCTCTCTCTCTCTCTCTCTCTCTCTCTCTCTCTCTCGTTCCTCTCTCTCTCTTTTACACACACACACACACACACACACATTTTCAAAAGAAAATCTATTAAATAACTCCTCAATTCCCCTTCTCCTAAACTTGATAACACTGTTCCATCTTTGTGTATCTGATTAGCACCTCACATAAGTGGAATCATGCAGTATTTGTGTGACTGGGTTATTTCACCTTAGTATAATGCCCTCAGGGATCATCTGTGTTATACCATGTGTCAGAATTTCCTTCCTTTTTAGGGCCAAATAACATCCCATTGTATGTATTTATCAGATTTATCACAATTTTCTTTATTCATTTATCTACTAATTAATACTTGGCTTGTCATTTTTTATTGAAAGATTTATTTATTTTATGTATGAGTGTTCTATCTGTAGGTACACCTTTATGCCAGAAGAGGGCATCGGATTCCACTCTAGATGGTTGTAAACCAGGAGCTCTGGAAGAGCAGCCAGTGCTCTTAACCACTGAGCCACCTCACCAGCCCCAATTTTTTTTTATTTTTCTGGTACTGGAAATTAAACTCAGGGCCTTGTGCTCACTAGATAAGTGCTCCCCCACTAATCTACATCCCTACCTCTATGCCATGGTCAATGCAGCCCCCAAAGTCTGTGTGCTGAAAACCTAACCTCCAGGCTAGCCGTGTTGAGACGTGAGCTAGACTGGTGTTATTTGCAGGAGTGGGTTCATTAGGAAGGCTTTCAGATTTAGCTTCCATCTTAGCATCCAAGTGTCCATAGTGGATGCCAATCCTAATAAAAAGGAAGAGGACTAAGCTAGTGGAGAATGGATTTGTAAAGCAGTTATCACTTGGAAGAAAACCTCAAGAGGGAAATAAAAACAGTAGTCTTCATCTGGAAACAAATCCTTTCTGTTTCATTCAGCTTTTAGCCAAGAATATAGCTAGAAAGTTATATCTAATAATAAATAACTTACTTTCATGTCGGTAAGCAATCAGAAAATATAACGAAAGGAAGACATCCAGGGGAAGGGAGTTCCGAGCTGTTTTCTGGACTCAGCTGCTAGGGTTTTGGCTCTGGGTAACCCAATGCCACTTTCATGCCTGGTCTCCCAGGGCTATTCTTAGCTTCATAAAGTCAGTCCTTGGCTCCTTCAAGTATCCTGGTCATATCTGAAAGTATGACCTTTGTGTCAGGTCTTCATAACATCATCACTGTTGTTAATTGTATCTTTCGAAACTTCTATGAGCTATAAATAGTTCCCCAAGTAAATTTTCTTAAATGTGCCTTTTCAGCCAGGGTCCAGGGTCCCTTGCCATAACCAGTGAAATGAACGCTAGTTTTATTGTATCATCTCGTTGCTAAAACTGCAGGGAAGTTTTAAATTTGGCGGACTGGAAGCTGCCTTCATGAGACCCATTGAAGATGAGCTAGAATAAGAAAGCAAAAAACTGGTGGTGGCGGCACAAACCCTTAATCCCAGCCCTCGGAGGCGGAGACACTGGCAGGCATCTCTGTGAGTTCGAGACCAGCCTGGTAAGTTCCAGGACAGCCAGACCTACACAGAGAAATCCTGTCTCAAACAAACAAACAAACAAACAAACAAACAATAATCCACAAAAAAACCAAAAACAACTCCCCACCACCAACATCCCCCCAAACAAAACAAAGAGTAAAGAAAAACAAAAAACAAAAACAAACAAAACTAAGCGGGGTGGAGAGAGACGGCTCATTTGTTAAGAGCACTGGCTGCTCTTCCAGAGCATCTGGATTCCATCCGCAGTATACAACTGTCTGTAATTCCAGTTCCAGGAGATCCAATGCCCTCCTCTGGCCCCCCAAGGGTGCTGGACACATGTGGTACACAGACATACATGCAGGCAAAACACCCATACACATAAAATAATAAAATAAAATAATTAAAAAGAAAGAGAGCTGAGCTAGAGAGGTAGTTGAGTGGTTAAGATGACTTGTCCCTGCAGAGGACTTTGATTCCTAGCATCCACATGGTGGCCCACAAACATCTGTAACTCCAGTTCAGGGAATCTGACACTCTCTTCTGGCCTCTGCAAGAACTGGGCATACACATGGCCCACATACATACATCAGGAAAGCACTCATTCACTTGAAATAAAAATAAATAAATCTAAGAGAACAAGCTTCAGAAATCCAGGAAGGTATTGATAGGCTACCTGGAAGAGCTGAGAAAATGTCGGGTGCCGAGCGGAAAAGAAGGCAGGCGAGCCTTACTTATCCAGCTGTGTGCAGCCCTAAATGGGCGGGGGTAGAAGACACTCCAAAAAGTAAGCCTCCTAGTGTGGCCCCCTTAGGCTCATAGGGAGTGGCACTGTTAGGAGGTGTGGCTTTGTTAGAGTAGGTGTGGCCTTATTAGAGGAAGTATGCCGTGGGGGTGGGCTTTGCAGACTCTCACATGCTCAAGCCCCGCCCAGTGTCCTGCAGCCTTCTGATGAAGATGTCCGATGAAGATGTAGCCCGGGGCACCGTGTCTGCTTGCCCACGGCCATGATGATAATGGACTGAACCTCTGAACTGTGAGCGAGCCTCCTCAAACAAATGTTTTCCTTTGTAAGAGTTGCCGTGGTCAGGGTGTCTCTCCACAGCAACAGGCACCTTGTCAAAAAAGACTAGCCATCCTACCCTCACGACAAGTCCAGAGCCCTCAGAAGCCTCCAGCCCAGCGGTAGGTTTTGATAAACAGTGACTCAGAGGCCCGGGATGCTGTCGTTCTGTACGACTTACAAGGCTTGGGAAATGTGCCGTCTTGAGAGAGAAGCATTGTTTGAAACTGAGCTAGCTACCTTGGGGGCCTGAGAACAAGACACACGTAGAGCTAGAGACCCTGAATTTTTTGTGCCGTAGCTGCAAGCCTAGATACTCTATCCTGGGCGCAGTTGTAGAGAGCAGAGGGGGTGGGTACAGCGACCTGCTGAAAAGTGGGCGTGGCCGGAGGCTCCCGGGAAGGGCATCCCCACCCTCAGTGACTGACAGCTGGCCTCAGCAGCTGATGCCAAACCTGGCGTTTGAGAGCTCTGAGCTGGAGGTCAGCTGGTGTATACCTTTGGAAGCCGCTATCTGCGGGAGAGCCCGGGAATTGAAGCCCCAGAGGTCTGTCCGGCACCCCAGCCGCACCCCACCAGCCGGGGGGTGAATGCAGGAGGGTTGCAAGCGGGAAGACAGGTCCTCAGCCTGCACAGAGCTCAGGACAGCCTTTACATCCCACACGCACTACAACAGTAGCCACCAGGGGGTGTGAGCCGGAGGATTTCAAGAGGGTGAGAAAAGCTTGCCCGGACCACAGACTGCAAAGCTAAGTACGGCCAGCAGAGGGCTCTTGTACCCAAGAAGTGACAGCTTTGGTGGCCATGGAACCCCAGCCTGCACCAGAGGAAAGGCGAGAACGCTCAAGTCCGACTGTCCTTCCCGCTCAAGCGTATAAACAGCAGCCTCTAATTTTTGAGAACTTTGGAAAAAAAGCCGTTTCAACACTTCATCTTCTTCCCTTTAAAAATCTCCCCACCTTTAAGAATTCTTGCACTTTTAGTAATACTTTTACTTTGTTGTATTTAAGAAAATATTTTAATTTTTTATTCCTCTTTATACATTCATCTAATTTGTTGGGCAATATTTTAATTTTTCTCCCCCTTTTTTTTTGCCCCTATCCAACCATCTCCTTTCTGTCTCACTACTATATTTTAGTAGTATTTTTAAATTTTATCTTGTTGGATTTTTTTGTTTGTTTTGTTTTTTATTATAAGATTTGTTCATTTTATTTTATGAGTGAATGTTTTGCCTACATGTATGTCCAGTACCCACAGAAATCAGGAGAGAGAGAGAGAGAGAGAGAGAGAGAGAGAGAGAGAGAGAGAGAGAGAGAGAGAGAGAGAGAATCAGATCCCTTGGGACTGGAGATAGAGTCATGTGGGTGCTGGGAACAGAACCCAGGTCCTCTGCAAGAGCAGCCAGTGCTCTTAACCCCCGAGCCATCTCTCTAGCCCCCTATTTTGTTTTTTCTTTTTCTTTTGAAGGTCTTACACAGACAAGGTGGGGCTCAAACTTGCTCTGTAACTGAAGATGACACTTATCTTCTCATCTGCCTGCCTCATCTCCCGAGAGCTGGGATTACAGGTGTGTGCATCGTGCCCCCTTTATGTGCTGCTGGGGGTTGAACCCAGGGCTTTGAGCATACTAGGTAGGTAAGCAGTCTACCAACTGAGCTGCATCCCTGTCATGCTCATTTTTGTTTAAGATTTATTTGTGTACGTGCGTGGGCGCGCGCCACATGCATGACAGTGCCCTTTGAGGCCAGCAGAGGGCATCAGATCCCTGGAGCTGAAGTTACAGACAGCTGTGAATCATCTGATGGCTGTTGGAACCAAATTTAGGTCCTCTGGAAAAGCAGCGAGTGCTCTCAACTGCCGGGCCACTGCTCCAGCCCTCTGTTTCTGGTTTTCTGTTTGTTTTATGTTTCATTTTCCTTCTTACATTGATTTAATTTTTTTTTTGGGGGGGGAGGGTTAGTTTTCAAGACAGGGTTTCCCTGTGTAACCTGGCTGTCCTGGAACTCACTCTTTAGATCAGGGTGGTGTAGATGTAACCAACCGTCTTATTAAATAAGAAACACAGAAACAATGTAAAAGAGAAAGCCGAGAAGTCAGAGCTCAGAGCTAAAATCTCACCCTTCCTCCTGCTG